TATTATTATTAATATTAACAATATATACAAATATTTTCAATTATTAATTTAAAATTCTTCAAAAAGGATGGTTTTAATAAGTTATTTAAGCTGAGGGGGATTCATCAATCCCATCGTAAGTACAGACGCTCTTGAGATAGCCGGTACGCGCGTTGTTTACAAAAGCATCGGGAGATTCGTTGCTATGGGATACGCGGCAAGGGGGGACAAGTAGGCGTCGACAACGAAATCGGCTCGAAATGTGCAACTAATTTAAGCATTTTAGATCATTCGTTCAGAATTCTGAAATGGATCTAGCAGAATGCACCAATAACAGCGAGTGCTCACTCAGGCTGTGTTCCGTTTTCACTGCAAGTACTGAAAATCTACAGTATACATAACGCAAACTATAAATTTTCAGTACTTGCAGTGATAACAGAACCCAGCCCCCATTGTTGAGTCCGCTGAGTGCACCCAATGGTCGCGTTCAGCAGACTCAACTGTTGCGAAGCGGATCTTTGAGCGCTCGCTGCTATTGGATGATCTAATAGAATTATATACCAATAGCAGTGAGCGCTAATGAATCTGCTCCGCAACAGTTAAGTCAGCTGAATGCGACCAATGATTGCTGTCTGTTGTAGCTACATGGGTTAAACTAAAATGGAAGTATCTAAGTGATACTTATTTCCGCATTTTGAAGTGCATAACTAAGGCAGACAAAGGTGTGAGAAGAAAAAGATGGATCTTTGAGGATCTCTTAAACTTTCTAAAATTTCCGTAAGAGATATATATCTATGATTATTGATGATTTTAACGCTTATGTGTCGTTTTCTCAATTAAAAATACTTTTGCAGATGTGAAACAGATTACGAGCCACAGTGTGCAGAACTGACCAAGGAATACGTTGAACTGATAAATTCGAAAGATTTGACTACCAAAGGTTTGCTGGAGCAGTTAGTAGACCGAAGTGATTCTGAATTCCTGGAAGTTCTTGAAGAGACATCAGCCAATCCAGTTCTTGAAGAGACATCAGCCAATCCAGTTTTTGAAGAGACATCAGTCAATCCAGTTATACTACAACCCGTTGAAGAAACAGTAGGAACAGCAGAAACAGCAGAAATATTGGGCGACAGTAATGAACAGACATTCGCTCAAGAAGTGCTGATTGTACAAGAGATTCCTACAGAGGATGTGAACAATATTAATAAAAAACGGTCAAAGAATCAAAAGAATCAACGTACAAAACGATTGAAAACCAGAAATACTTCTCTAGTATCACCTAGCTGTAGAAGAACAAGGTCTTCCACGAAGTTCGATAATATAAATGTAAGTGATATTACAGTGATTGAGCAACCTATTCTTGAGAAAAAAACACCTAGCGTACCACGTAGTGTATCACGTAGCTTACCTATCCTACCATCTACCGTACCACCTAACGTACCTCCTAGTGTACCTCCTAGTGTACCTCCTAGAGTACCTCCTAGAGTACTTCCTAGAGTACTATCTAACATACCAGTTAACATCATATTACCTGGCATACCGTTTATGACTGTGAAAGGACCAAAAATTTTACTTAGCACCCGAAAGTAAGGGTACAGAATTATTTTTTGACAGCATGGCACAAGTCGTGAGAAAAAATTACCATCTACAGCGCAAGCGGATATCAGGTTGAGTATCTGCAAACTCGTCACAGAGGCGGAAATAAAATATTGTGGTACAGTACAGAGCACACAACAGTTCTTAACACCGTCCGGCGTGATACCTAAGCTAATTTTGATTCCTTGTAGTAAGTTGGATAATCCAAATGATAAGAATTGATGTGTTCATGTTGCGCTGAATGTGTCTTAATGCTGAATAAAATTGTAAGTGTATTAAGTATATAACTAATTAAATTATAAGTATTATATAGTTTTTATATCTTTTACATCATTCCAATATTATATTCATCACGAGTTCTCTTGACAAACTTGTTAGTTTCATCTCTATGCTGAATAAAATTATAAAATTGAATTGCAAAACTACAAACGGGAGAGATTATATTTTATTATAATTACATTTTATACTAGAATCCATAGAAACGGTAAAAATTTTACATTTTAAAACAATAATTATGATAATTATAAAGTATAATCGTTTATCGTTTGTTATTCAATCTCATAATTTTATTCAGCATACAGATGAAACTAACGAACTTATCAAGAGAACTGTGTTGTGATAAATGTAATATTAGAATGATGTAAGATATAAACACTATAGATGTGTGAGATATATGTCATGTTTAAATTTAATTTTAACTTATTATATTCATGGACTCTCTATAAAGATAATACATTTTATTTCTTGACATGTATCTCTACTTACATCTCATAGATGTTATAAAATTAAATAGATGTGTTTTGATTGATGTCAAAATAATATTAAAAGTGATTATGTTATATTACATTTTGCTTATAATGTTCGTATAAGCATGGTGCAAAAATTTAGTGTCAGATTTTGAATTTTAATCATTAGCTTGAGATTTGATATGAAGCATTTCAGAAATCAATCTTTTATAATTTATTTCGTTATGCAAGTATTTTCCCATTCAAATTTAATTTTTGAATTGCATTCTGTGTTCTGTAATGACAGACCGGTTTTTTTAAATCGATATTAAGATGTTCAGCAATTCTTGTTTTTAGCTTTCTTCCTGTCTATCCTACATATGAGGCATTGTAATCCTTACAATTGATTTTATATATGATACTTTTCTTGGAATCATGAGGAAGGACATCCTTTTGTGTCTTGATAATCCCATTGAGTTTATTTATACTGAACCAAGATAATTTAACATTATTGTTTTTTGTAATGTTTTTAAATTTTTCATAATGGTAAAGAAAAAATGGAATTGTAAACCATGTGGTTTTTTCTTTCTCATCATTCTTTGGTTCTGTGGAATCTGTTTATTTAAGTGTCTTTAGTTTTAATAAGGATCTTAGTCAAGAGTTAACAGTGTCAAAAATAAACTCGATAGGATATTCGTTACTCAGAAAGGTTTTGATAACAAACCTCAATTTTTTTTATGGTATTTAGTATGTGTAAGAATGCTGTATCCACCATGCTTATTAGAACACCCTTTTTTGTGAAAGGGGATGAAGAGACAAGAAACTGAGATACCTTCCTGAAAAAGTTGGTTTGTGATATAAATTAAACTTTTATTCCATTGACATTAATGATGATGACATGTAAAAAATTTAATCTATCTTCTGCGCGTATTCTAAATTATAATCTGATATGTAGTGAGTTGAAAATGTCCAGAAATTTATTAATTAAGTAGTGAAATACCGTAGTAGCGATGTCATCTACATATCTAAAGGAGAAGAGTAACTCAGTTTCAAATCTCTTCAATGCGAGCTCATGGCGAATCCATGAGCATCTTAAATTTCTGTTTGTAAATCTTGCTATCAAAGGTGAAAATTGATTTTAAAACCAACTTTAGTGCATTTAAAAATTCTTTTGGATGTGCTTGCGTGTCCTTGAAATAAAATTCCACCTTTCAGAAATACTGTTGATGGCAAGATCCATTGGTAGTTTTATGAACAATGAACCTATGTCTAAGGAAATTTAAACAAAATCATTGTCTCGATGTGTATTCGACCAGTTTAAAATTATCTTCGATATGACTGGGTGGTTTTGGAATGTAATCATTTAGAATGCTTAATTTAATTAAATTAAAATGAAATTTTATCTTACCAATTTAAATTAGACATCTGCTAATATACTTTGTAGCGTTTCTGGTATGAGTAATGAGTTTATTTTAGCTATTGCCAAGAAGGAACTGTTACAACGAATCTAAATCACTCATCTTTCTATACTAGTGTACTTTTATCCATTTAAGACTGATTAATTAACACATTCAGCGCGTTTCTGGTATAAAATATTTAAGTAAATGTGTGTATGTGTGTGAAATATCAAATGTATACATGTTTTTTGTGGAATTAATGTCAATAAAAGATCAATATTTTAGATTATATAAAATAATTCATTTTAATTTATTTTCTAAGCGACTTTTCGGGGGTAAACCACTGGCCTACTCGCATTGTGTCTTGAGCTTTATGCGTTATGCAAAAGCTTGTATCTGGGCTCTTAGTTTAAGAAATATTATCTAAATATAAAGTGGTATGTTGATATCTATATATATATATATATATATCAGTGACTTTCTCTTAAACGTACATTTTTTCCAATTCAAATTCAGCCGCGTATTCAGCATGATTACGTCGCGCTAAAAGTCAAGCGAGTGTCTGCTCCAAAGTCTGTCTTTTATTTCCTCGTATTTTAAATTTCTTCAATTTGCTCGGTCTAGCTCAGTATTTACTTAGAACAGATTAAAAATATACGTGTATTTTTTCATGTGATTGCGACGGATGGGAAGAAAGAAGTTCCGGTGAAGATTTCAAGTATCGAGGTACAGTGGTCAATATGACACGCGCGGTGCCAACGGGTTAGAGGAGCGAGCGCCACATTGTTCGGCGTTGGCCCGGTTGGCCGCCGCGTGTGTGGTGCACTGTGATACTGGTGTGTATATATACACGCATGACGTTTCCACGACGGTGGCACGTCGTGGTCCGGTTTCGTGCGGTGGTGGAGCCGCTTGCCCGTCCGCCGTCTGTTTGTCGTGCCGCGTTCGCTGCTAATTGAACGTATACTCCTGTCGGTCAAGATGGTGATGAAGGGACGCAAGACCTCGAATAAGAACCCGCCGATCTTCAGCCACGAGTTCATCATAAAGAATCATGCGGATATCGTCTCCTGCGTGGCCATGGTCTTCGTGGTCGGCCTCATGGTGCAGGTCGGTGACGGCTAGCCCGGCGTTTGCCCTCTGGCTCCGTTTAGAATTTACACCCGTTACGATTTACATTCCTTTGACGAAACGGGAGAATCGCTTTTACATAAATTCCCCACGAAAGCTTCCGTTGAAAATGAATGCCTGAAAAGTAGGACGACCATATGTTACGAGTCAGCACTGTCAAAACAAATTTGACTTGCTACACATTTATTTTCATTTATCGTATCTGCGAATATTTATTTTCCAATTTTAAATCTTTATTATATTTTCATGAACATTTTAATTGGGATAGTTAACTTATTTGTATAAACACATGTTGTATTCAGTATTATATATTTATATATTTAATATGTGCTATTATAATCGTCTTTTTTATATTAATTTGGAAAAAAGATAAACATCTATTGGCGTTCGTATTAAAATTTATTTCATCAAATATCTAATTAATTTAATTATATTGTTAGAGAATTGTGCATCGTGTATTTTTCAGGCTACTTGGTTACATAGTTTATTTAATATTATTTTCTGTATTAGATTACATCACCATGGGCTTATATGTTTGTTGCTATTCATCATAATGTGACCAATACTACTGAGGATCCGACAGCAGTGGTGAAGTATACTACAGGAGGAAAAGATGCCTGTGCAGTGTTCTTTTATTTCTTAATAACCATCATAATGCATGCTGTGTTTCAGGAATATATATTTGATGTAAGTGTACTTTTCTTATGACAAAATATTATCCAGCTGTAAGAATATATTTAAATTTTTCAGTAATAAAATCATTTTTGTCCACAGAAACTTTCCAAACGGCTTCATCTCAGCAAAGTAAAGCTTTCTAAATTTAATGAGTCCAGCCAATTAATAGTATTCTATATACTATCTGCATTGTGGGCCATTGATATTATAATCAGGTGAAATACAGATTTTAATAAATAATATTAGAAAGAGATATAAGAGAAAGTATCAATAAAATAATTCGGTTTTTTTTTTTCAGAGAGAATATACTTTTGAACATTCGGTCATTGTGGGAAGAATACCCAGCACCAATGTCCGCTTCCTTAAAACTATTTTTCATCAGCCAGCTTTCTTATTGGTTGCATTGTTATCCCGAACTCTATTTTCAACGAATTAAAAAAGAAGATATTTTGCAACGTATTGTCCATGCAACTATTGGATTAAGCTTTACATTAGCAGCTTACTTCTTCAAGTAATATTATAATATATAGAGACTTACTTTACTCTTTATTTTTGCAGAATTTGTGTTAAAATATATATTTATTATTCTCTTCAGTTTCCAACATCTTGCCCTAATCTTATTAACTCTCCATTATGTGGGAGATGCTTTGCTACATGCAGCGAGACTGGTTCACTTCATTAGTCAAAAAGAAAGCAGAACGAAATGTAAGTTATCTTTATTGATAATTGAATTGCTACCGCAAGTCATTACTATACGTAGTGTAATTAATATATATAATTGACGTTCGTTACAGTGTCATTTCTGATTGCCAATTCGACTTATGCGTTCGCGCATATTACGACTATCGCACTTACATGTGTAGTATTCCTGTATGGTTTGAGGAAACAGGAGTTCAAATTCGACTACGCTAACGGCAACTTTAATACTCCTGCTGTGCAATTTTCAGCAGCGGTTATTATCTCGCTCTTCCAAGGCTACATTCTATATTACTTCATCGCGAAGCAGATCAAGCGTGCACGCGAGAACGCTGCACCTGTTGTCGTGAAGACGAGACCGAAGCAGAAGCCGAAGAAACGAGAAGGTGAAAACCCGTAAAGTTCTTCGTTTATTTTATTATATACTTTGCTATTAGAATTTATTTCATTGCAGTAAAATGTATGCGTATATTTGCAGGCAAGAAATCGGCCTTGTCCGAAGACGACGATCTTCCTGAAGTAGATCAGGCGACGAAGAAGAATCTGAGAAATCGTCCTTCAGCCAAAGCAAAATAGACGCTCAATAAATTAGAGAAATCATTCCTACAAGGCTGATTGATGTTCGATTTTATTCGCCTATACGTCACGAACATGTCAGAATATTCAACTAAGGCTGCGGTCCACTTGCTTCTTCCAAATGCTTTAAATGTTGCGCTCCAAATACTGCGCTTAGACTATCAATACATTACTGTTCCGAATGCTACAATCTCTCTGTAATTTTTCGTCAAATATGTCGAAACGCTCCAGCCAACTGAATCCATCTTTCGAGGGCGTGTTCAGATTCTCATCCAATATTTCACCAGTATCATGTAATCTTTGCTTAATAAGTGGACAATAAGGACAAAATGATATCTGAGTAGCACTCGGGTGGGAATTCAAACATAGCCCGAAATAAAACAAGTGGAGCGAAAATAATGACATATTAATGACGTAATGAGAATTACGGGGAACGTCAAGTGGTCCAAGAAGATCCAGTTATATTGGTGTTTGCATACATATTGCTTCGTGTGCTTACAAAGTATATGCTTTGTAAAGTTTGAAACACCAAATAGACCGTAGCCTAAGATATATAAAAACGTATTTTTCTTAATGTAAAAATACGAAGCTTCCATAATGTTACCGATCAAGAATCGCGACAGCAGAATGATAAAAGTATCTGATACTTGATTTTGTATTTAACAGAGATGAAAACCAGATTTGAAATATTTTATGAAAGAGATAGATACGTAATATTGAGCAGAGATAAGCAGACTACCAGGTCATCGGGTGTAACTAATCAGTTTTTTAATCATTTTATCGCATATGAACTGTATAAATGTTGCATTCATATAGAATCATAGAATATTAATTACGCGTTTTGATACATCGTTCTATGCACGTTGCATACATTTTTTAAAGAGAAATTTATACAATTTAATGCTATTAGCTGTTATTTAAAATTCTTTATGTATTTTTTTCGCGCACTGATTTCTTCCGATGAATTTTTTAAATTAATTAAAATAGAATTAATTTGAGTTTTCAAACATTTAATCTTTCCTTCTCCAGTGTCTTACTGCTTCAGATGGGAAAGAGATTAAAAAGAAAGCTGAGTTCCAGAACCAGACAATATAAGCTTGGATCAGTCTTATTGTCTTGAATTATCCTTAGAATAAAGTATTTGAATAGATTAGAGATAAAAAATGTATTATGATGTTAAATTACAAAGCAAAAAGATATATAGATGTAATGTGCACAAAATAATATTCTGGACCACAAATGTGTTATAAGAATCGTGTCACGTAAATATATACATATCTTATGGAATTATACAATATTGTTACATTTAAATATAATTTTACTATTTTTTAATATATGTATTTATATCGAAAGTGAATCTATATGGAAAATGACAGTCTCGTTATTATATCACTTTGCAACTAATTACATTGTTTCAAAATCATTGTCCCAAAGAAGATGAATGGTAAATAAAAAAACAAATAAAGTTTCGAGGCATCATTTTTCATAAATATTTTCACTGTTTTGCAATTTTATACCGTCAAATTTCTAATCTTAAAATTCTATGCTTAATCGTGCAACCAGTAATCAATTTTTTTTTTTTTTAAATTTATTAGCTATTTTGTTAAATAATAATTGTATTGATTGAATAAGATTCACATTTTTTTTTTATGTTTATACTTGTCCTTAATCTTTTGTTCGGTGATTTATGCAGAAGAGATCTGCACTCACATTTCTGATCTGACTCAGACTTAAAAAAGAAGAATGATTTTTTTTTAATCTATACTGTCGCATGCGCGTTATAAAAAATATAAAAATCAGATATCCAATTCTATATATACGTATATCTTTATTTAAATAAAAAAATAAACAACTTTATGTTGTAAATATTTTTATGCAACAATAAAAAAAAAGAAAAAAATATTGCATATATTTTTTTTTCACTTGAACATTTAACAATTTTAATATGTAGATATCTTAGTTCTAAAATTTCTGATGTTTTTTTTTTCTTCTTAAAAATTGAATTTAATGAACAGGAAGGAATACTGTCTTATCGGAACGACGGCGACGGATGACACAACGATACTCCCGACGATCCCGACTGTGGGCGCTGGTGTAGTCGGTCAAGCGCAGTGCAAATGGTACTGTGGTCTGTGGCAGTCTGTGGTGCGAATCTCCAGCGATTTATCTAGCCGTTTATGTTGGCCGTCGTAGCCAGTGATTGTAGAAAGATGAAAAAATGTATTTAAAACGTACATCGAAGCTGCTGGATCTCACAGTGTCGCGTACTACCGCGGACGTGCATCTGCGCGATTTGACGTGCCCGATATGCCGCGGCATTCTAATCGAACCAGTGACGCTGCCGTGCACACATAACCTCTGTCTGCGTTGCCTGCAGGGTACTTTCCAGCACAACAGCCTGACCTGCCCGCTGTGCCGGGTCCGGGTGGGTTCTTGGCTGCGCACCGCCACCAAGTCCGAGACTTTGGTGAACCACGGCCTCTGGCAGCTGATTAGGTCTAAGTTCCCGAAGGAGGTCGAGAACAAGCACAATGGCGAGGAGGGGGATCTCGGCTTGGACGCTGGTAAGTGACGTGT